GACACTGTTAAATTTTTATAGTTTGGAAAATGTGACCTAAATGTTAGTGTCAGTGTTGAAGAAACGTGGCTTTCAAAAGGAACTTAATCTGGGACAGTTTTGATAACAAATCGGTTGTGCAAATCATGTTGTTAACCAAATACGTCCAAAGTGCACAGATAAACCTCTCATAGTGATTATTTCTGGAGGTATCTTTTTTGTCCAAATATCTTTGGATTTTAAACCAGTTTTGGACAAATTGGGACATTTTAAGATGTTGACTTGGGCTTTAGGAAGTTGTAAGGAAAATGATTCACCACTTTCTGACATTTTATAGACAATTGATAAACAATTAATTTGATTGATGGAGAAAATCTGCAGGTTCATGAAAATCATAATGAAGACAACAGCCCATACAGTGTTATTTATAGGGGTGGGAATCACCGGAGGACTCACGATACAATATTATCACAATGCTTAGGTCACGATACGATATAATTGTGATATTGCAATATGCTGAGTATTGTGATATATGGCAGTATATTGCGATTCATTACCTTTTTCCCAACTGCAAATTTCCCCAAAGGAAAACTTTATCAATGTCAATTTTACCTCATAAGACAAAGTTTTCAGTCTGTTCATTTGATTTTAATCATTTTTATTGAAGCAAAATGTGATGCAAAGCAGACAGACTAACCAACACCATCATAATACCTGTCATACATGCTGTATGCACCTGACAAACTGAACTGTTGGCAGATTTAACACCCTGTGTGAGCCCAGATTAAGCAAGTGTGTGAAACACTTCACACACAGGTATCCTGCTAACTGAATGGCAACACCCATGTTAGATGTGCTGTCTGTTACAAACACAATCCCCCATTCTTGTGCTGCGTTTTACAGGAGGTCTGCAGTGTTTGCTATGGTGTGACTTTCATCTTCTGCTCTAGTTAGGAGAATGTGAGACAGCAGTCATCAGTCCTCTGTGATATAATGTGCTGTTATAGTCACATCTAAATCCACTGACCTTGAAGTCCAGGAGTCACAAGTTAATGCTACCCTTCCTGCTGCACTCAAAGATTCCTCAACTAAATGCTTCACTTCCCTGTAGAGCTTGGGTATAGCTGGGATGGTGAAAGAATGTCAGGACAGAGTCACATACCTGAGTTCCAGTGTTTTTAGCATGTTCGTTTTCAACAACACTGTATGGACGCAGATCTTTGCACATGAAGTGGGTGATGGGCTTTGTTATTTTCTTCACTCTCTCAGAGTTGGATGGAAGTTTTGTCAAGCTAAGTGTGTCCAGTTTTGGTTGATTTTTCGGCAGAGCAGGTTTAGCGTTAGATGGCCGTCAGCGGCTAATGTTATCTCTGAATGGTGTTGTGTGAGGTGAGGCCTCATGTTCGTAGTATTGCCAGAGTATTCTCACATGACACTGCCTCCAAATCGCATGTGGCATATCAAGTCCTTCGCTCCTGTTGTGTTGAAAAAAATTCAAAATAAGTCCAGACGTTTGATTTAAACGGCGACAGTGCATTTCTTATTTCTTTCTCCGTTGCTCCCAGCTTTGTTTTGATGAGCTTCCTGCCAAATGCTGTTGACTGAGACCTCTGCTGACCTCACCAGGAAAAACACAATCAGCCCCATCTAGTGGACAGAAAAGGCAACTGATTTTATGATTCTTGTACCAAAAGTTGGATTAAAATGTGTATTTGCAAAAATGAATGTATATATAATATATAATAACAGATCGATACTTGGCGTCCGCGCATCGATTCAATATTGCTATGCAAAATATCACGTTAGCTTTATCAGTTTTTCCCCCACCCCTAGTGATGTAGTTGTTCTCTCTATGTATCATTCTCTGTCTACATATCAAGCATCTTTTTTTTTTCTTAAATCACATTCAGTTCTCACCAGTTCACTTCGAGACAACCTTACGTAGAAGTAGATTACCTCAAGTAAATACAGTCGATACAAAGGTTCGGTAAAACGGGATTGAGGAGCTGAATTTTGGCTTTACATTTTGAGTTGTGGACATTTTAAAACTGAAATGAAATGAACGTTGAAACCCACAGTGACTCGTCTTTCCCCCTGCCTCTGTCCTCGTGTTGTCAGACTCCATCAGTCTCTAGCAGTAATCACCTATAAATGATTCAGTCATGGCCGATGCTCCTGCAGCCCTAATGTGAAAATAATGGATTTTTTGTGACCCTTTCCTTCTTGTGCTACTTAACACCAGTTTCCATTTGTCTCTCTTCTGCCTCTGTCTGTCTTGTTTTCCCTCTGTAATTTATTTTTCCATCCTTTTTGGCTGCTATCTGATGTGTTTGCATCTGTTTGATATGTGCTGTGTGTGTGACAGTGATGGACAACGTACTCAGATCTCTCTTTTAAGTAAAAGTAGCAGTATTACAGTGTAGAAATAATGTGTTACAAGTAAAAGTACAAACATATTGGCATTAAAATTGACTTTAAGAACAAAAAGTAAAAGAACACATTATGCAGAATGAGCCATTTCAGAAGCATACATTATTGCATTATAATAAGTGATGAATTAATGTGTTCATCACTGTAATGTTGCAGCTGGCAAAGCTGGAGTTGATTATGTTTTGTATTAAACAAACTCAATCTGTACTTAAAGATGTTGAATAAATATAGTTGAGTAAAAAGTCCAAATTCCCAGTGAAGTAGGGTAGTTGCGACGGGCCCCAGTGCACACTATCATGGCCCTTGTGCATGCTGTTGTGCACATATCGTCTTATCACATGATCAGAGACTTGACATTGGATAACATCAGCATTCATCTTACCCAACTATCATCATTGCATATGTGTATATAACAAAAAGTACCAAAGAAAATAAGAAATGATTGATTTAATTTAACAACTTTAATAGTGTATTATAGTTTATTCAACCCAGGGTGAGGGAGCCCTTCTGTGCGCAGTTTGCATGTTCTCCCCATGTCAGCGTGGGTTTTCTCCGGGTACTCCAGCTTCCTCCCACAGTTCAAAGACGTGCAGGTTAACTGGTGACTCTAAACTTGCCGTAGGTGTGAATGTGAGTGTGAATGGTTGTCTGTCTCTATGTGTCAGCCCTGTGATAGTTTTGTGACCTGTCCAGGGTGTACCCAGCCTCTCACCCAATGTCAACTGGGATAGGCTCCAGCCCCCCCACAACACCCAAGTGGTTATGGAAAATTAATGAATGAAGGAGTATCATACTAGTAAAATGTGTCAATATCTGTGCTCGTGATTAAGGAAAATCCTCATTTTGGTTACTCTTGTGATTCAAAAAATGATCTGAAGCTTAATTTAGCGACTGTTATTTAAACACTTTTTTCATAGGTAATAAATATTTCAACCTCTGATCAATCCATATAAATTTCAGGGTTAAAATAACAACCTCTGATTAGGCCAAACCCACTTTTAATTTAAACCACACCCACATCTGGCATAAACTCCACCCACTTAATGTACAGATATAGATAATTTAGTTGGTTGAACAGATATAGAAAATGATGTACTCGCTTATCCCTGTTTATAACTTTTAGTATTAGTCTAGTTTTACTTTTTTAATTTTAGATTTACTCAAGTAAAAGTAATAAGAGATAATAATGTAAATAATGATAAACTTTATTCATATAGCACCTTTTATACAGGAAATGCAGGACAAAGTGCTTTACAAGAAGCACTGAGTGTTTCAGAATAACAGAATGAACATAAAACAGAACTGATTCATAAAATTGTTGCAGTTGTAAAACTAAAAATCATAAAATAACGTAAGATTTTAAAAGAGCTGCAGCAGCGTGAAAGGAGAGTAAAAGCGTGAAAAGAAACAGTGTCAGACCTGTATTAGGAAGTTAGAGCTACTTAAAGGCTAAAGTGAACAGACATGTTATTAGCTTTCTTTCTTCTATGATATCTATAGGTAGTGTGTTCCATAGCTCAGGCTGCATCCCCGATCTTCTTCCAGCTGTTGTTGTACCGCAGTGAACAAATAGTAAGTAAAGTAGTAAGTTAAAGTCCTGCGTTCAACATTTTACAAATGAAATAGGATACAAGTCTTAGGGCCTTTATATCCTGTAGACTGTTTATTGATGCACCACACAAATCGTCTCCCAAAACAATTATTTTCTGACATTTCCAACAAAAAGCCCCCAGAAACGTGCATTGCATCCATTCCAGCATGATTAAGCGCACCTCATCAAACAGCGCTGAAGTGCAGTCTGTGAAATGCTTAAAACAAAAAAGGAAATTTAATCCTCTATAATTCCATTTATCTGGGCAAACACTCATATAAAGCTCCAGATCAGCTCATAAACGGACCATGTGGGTGAGACTGTTTTCTCCAGCAGTAATAAATGTTTAGAATACTCTGCATATAGGCAGAAATGATGCTGCTGCTGCTGCTGCTGCTGCTGTCGAGGAAAACACGCTGATGTATTATTCAGCACAGCCTTCTGCTTTAACCTTTATGTGAGCACAGCAGCGGACCTTTAAATGAATGTGAAATGATACATACTCTGTTTAAATATTCAATCAAGATATTTATATAAGGGAGAATTCCACCTTTAGTAAGAGCTCTGATGGCATTTCACCACCGTGACTGTATAATGTACATTAAGGGAGATATTAGTGCTTTAGCCTTTTTTTAGAATGATGTTTAGAGAATTATTAAAATGACCGACTTTATGAAACCACTTTAATTTGTGCTCCATTTTCATTAAAGTGAGGCACAGGATCAGTGTGTGACCAGCTGTGTGTATATGTCATGTCCTCATTGTGATAATCATCCTACTTGACTCAGAGAGAGAACTGTATCTCCTGTCTCACACACACACACACACACACACACACACACACACACACACACACACACACACACAGAAATGTTCTGTTTTTTCCCCCCCCGTTTTGTAAACACACATGCTCTCTCTCTGTCTCTCCTGGTATCACTGTCTTCCTCCCTCCAACATCCCCCTCTCTCTCCCCTCCTCCTCCTCCTCCTCTTCCCTACAGTGAACTGAAGCAGGAGCTGGACGAGGAAGGCAGTCGCTGCCTCCTGCTGTCACGGCAGAGCTGCTTCAACCAGCGCTGCTGCATCCGCTGCTGCTCGCCCTTCACCTTCCTGCTCAACCCCAAGCGCCAGTGCCGTGACTGCCACTACAACGTCTGCAAGGCCTGCCGGGTCTATAACAAGCGGGACAAAGCCTGGCTCTGCTCTGCCTGCCAGAAGAGCAGGTAAGGTCGGGCAGCAATGGAAGTGACTCAGATGGTGTGTTTGTGTGTGTGTGTGTGTGTGTGTGTGTGTTCATGAGTCTAAGTTAAGGATGAGAGGCTGACGGTGACGTCAAAGGTTATTAAGGTCTTACTCTGCTGCTGGAGAGATGGATTTAGAACTTATTACTCACAGCATAGTCACTAAGATACAGAACAGGATAAAGTCTTCCACTGGCTGAAATACTTGAAACAACATGACAGCGAGAAAGAGACTCACTAGTCTACAGCGTTGGAAGATGTGAAGCGACAAAAATGTATGTACAAGGACAATTTTCTCTTTTTCGTTCATCAAAATGTTCTTCTTAGCGTTGACGTGTTAAAAGCAGCCTGTTTCAGTTTACACAAAGACTTTGATGCACCATTCAGAGGTTCAGATTTCAAACGGTTCCCTGTATTTCCATATTGCCGTGGTGTGTCATGTCGAAATTTGATGACATGTTTGCTTTGTGGATTTAGAATATTGTCTAGTTTCCTTAGTTGGTGAGCATGACACAACCTATTGGATGAATTGGAAAATGTGTAGTGATGTAAGATTTTTTATGCTCATGAAAAGTTGACATTTCGAGAGCTGACATTTGAGTTTAAAGGGTAACATTAATGTTATTCTATATGTTTCGTAAGCCTCGGGTATGATCAGGTGACTTACACCGATCAGCCAAAGCATTAAAAATAATGACAGGTGAAGTGGATAACACTGATCATCTTGTTAGAGCATGATGTTCTGCTGGGTCCTGGCATGCATGTTGATGCCATTTGACAGGCATCATCTACCACAACATTATTGCAGACCAAATACCCCGCTTCATGACAACAGCACTCCTCAGGAACAGCCCGAGGAACGTTACAAAGAGCTCAAGGCATCAACCTTGCCTCGAAATTACCCAGATCCCAACCTGATTGAGCATCTGTGAAATGTGCTGGTATGACAGAGGTCACAGATGCCCAGATTGGGATTTTGGGGAATTTGGAGGCCACGTTCCTTGGGTCATTCTTGAGCAGTTTTACGGTGTCGCATGCTGCATTCTCCTGCAGGGGGGGGGGGCTACTGCCATCAGAGAGTGCTGTTGGCATTTGAGGGTGTACTTGGTCTGAGCGATAATTGTATGGGTGGTGCGTCAGTGGCATCCACGTGAATACCATAAGTTATGCAGGTTTCCAAGCAGAACAGTGCATTGTAATGAGATGATCAATGATGATGTCGTTCACTTCATCTGTCAGTGGTTTTTATACCCCAGTTGATCGATGTACAGTTGTCATAAACAGGAGGATTAGCTATAGAGACCAAAACAGTTTATTGTATCAGGCTGTAAACATGTTTACTTTTGCTGTGAAGTAGGCACTTTAACATTGGGATTTGTGGGACTTGACTTGCTTCTGGAGCCAGCCTCAAGTGGCCATTTAAGGAATAGCAGTTTAGGCAGTTCTGCGTTGGCTTCATTTTTCAGCCCTAGAGGTTGCCACTTGGGTACAATAGTAAAGATCTAGTTTGCACAATGTGTTGTCCAACCACGTCCGAGGGCAGTTTGTCATTGAGAGGGGGAGACGCTGTAATTATTCAAATAGTAGTGCTCACTTTAATAAGTGTTGCATTCATTTATGCATCTGAAAGTAATAGAAGCAATTGCAAAGAATAAAGACAAGAGCTTGATGGAGAAGTTCAGCTGCTGTTGGATTGTTGGTTTCGGAAAGTTACGGAAATTGTCTATGGATTAATACGTGTTTGGTTATTAGATAGTGAGTAGCAGCAGCAGGACGATGTATATCTGACTGAATCGGAATAAATTACAGTGCCCACGTTCATGGTAATTAAGGAACATGTCGCCCAGTCCAGAGGTGTGATTTGTTTTAATAATTGGGGTCTATGGCACATGATCAAGCTGTATCAGGGTTTGGCTACAAAGGCAATACTTACTTTTTCTTAAGATAAATTACTTGATAGTTACATCTGATTTGTTGACAATAAAAAAAATGTAGCACCACAGACGCTTCTGTTGAAATCTGCAGGTCTGTTAGCAGTCTTTTGGGGCGGTTAGAAATCCTGAACTTGATCTGCAATTGGAGCATTGACTGTGTTCCTGTGGCTCCATGTCATTGGTCCGACATCCCATTGTTCCGATATACTAGGCTATACTGTATTTGTGTACCATAGAGGATCAGCAAATGCAACAAAAGTAGGCTACTGGTCGAGATACAAGTGTCATAGAGAGGAGAGAATGAAACACCATAACCTCCTGTTATTAACTCTGGGTTCTGGGTTGTGTGGGGAGCTCTCCGCGGTGCTGAATGGCTCCCGCCGGGCGTATTTCTGCCTTGATGGTGCGCCGCAACCGGTTCTGGGTCTGCTGGGAAAGGCTTGAGGCGAAGCAGGCTCACAGCTTATGTGTTTGCCACTTTCTTTTTCATTTTAACCCACACCATGATCTTTTCCTAACCCTAACCCTAACCAAGTGGTTTTTGTGCCTAAACCTAACCAGACCTTAACCACAGGGCATCATGATGATGTCGGAACAATGGGATGTCTGACCAATGGGTTGTCAGAGTAATGGGCTGTCGGACCAATGGGCAGACCCCGTTCCTCTGGGAAACAAAATGGTGCAAACAGTGCTGACACAAGCTTCATGCTGCCGCCATTTTCTTCTGGGTATTGGTTCAGTGGAATGGGGATGAGTTCTGACTCAGGCAGCATCTTCCCTCAACCAAGTGGACCCAATTCAATGTCCCACAAAGCTACTGATCGTCCTCCTGCTCGACATGATACCATTTCCAGTGCTGGGGCTGGCAGATACAGCAGCATCAACATGGCTGCAGGTAATTGATTTGATGGTGGCTATGGTAGTGTTCGGGAGGAACGGTATGGGTGTGACAGCAGTGCTCCAAGTGGCGGCTATGGTGGTTAAGCTACTGCTTGTGTAGGGGACAGCTGGAGCTCTGGATCTGCTAACAGCTATGATGGTGGTAATGAAGACTCTGATCTGGAACCAGTCTACTCCTTCAGCTCTCGTTCAAGCTACCAGAGAGGAAGAGCAGTATTTGGTCAAACCTGCTACACCCCAGGAGAGCCTGTTCCCTAAATCTTGCCAGGATCCAGATGCATCAGCAAAACTTCTGAGCCAAGCAGTCCTCCTAAGGCTCTAACCAAGGTTGGCTTCTTAAGGCCTTCTGGTCTTAAGTTCCAGTTGACTGCTCATTCTGCTGAATGACCCAATGACAGCTGGCAATGAATGGCTTTTCTTAAAAACATGTAAAGATGTTACAATTTATACTTTTAAAAACTTCATTATATGCATTGTACACTACTGTACATTACAAATACTGTATACTGTCAGTCCATTTTCCATACCCACTTAGTTTATTCTGGATCATGGCTGGCTGCAATTATCCCAGCAGGCATTGGACATGAAGGCAGACAGAATATGGGCAATTAAAACTTTCAAATTCACCCGAGACCACTGAAGCTCAGACAAACATTTCATAACTTAAACTTCATGGTTTAGTACTTAAACAATAATCACTTTCTTGGAAATGTTTAAAGCTGTCAAGTAACTTCTTGGAGAAAATTCCTCCAAAATTGTTTACTTCCACCTCAGTTGTCATCTTAATGATAAGGACATCAGGTTTTCTTAATTAGACAGTGTTGACAGGAGTGCTGGTAGATAAATCACACTGACAGTTTTTCTCCACCTGGCTGTCTGAATGAGGAGACACCACGAACTGCAACAGTCACTTAAAGATGGTTCACACTTGAAGACTTTCTGTCGCCTCCTGTCCACACACTTACTGTCCACACACTTACTGTCCACACACTCGCTGTCCACACACTCGCTCAGCTCCCGTCACACAGCAACTGAACCGCACAGTGAACAGATGGTAACTCATTAAACATGCTGACATGGATATCTCTGCATTAGCCCACAGCTGTCAGTCCTAAACATTCAATTATATCTCAGTTCATTTTCAATCTTAAATATTGAGTCTTGAAGATGAGAAGGACAGAAATTAGATCTACATCAAAAGCCTCTTTTACATGTTTGTACACTGACAACAACACGTACAGACATATCTAACATGAAGTAGCTGTTCAAACTTTGACAGAAAAAAGCTGTTTTTATGTAGGACCCCACCACTGTTAGTAAGATGCTGGGATGATGACATAAAAAGTATATTTAGGACGTTAAATATATTGGAAAGCTAATTTTCTACTGAGGCCATAAGAGGCAAGTGAGAAAAATTCTGGTCATCCATTTTCTTAGTCTGATGTAGCTTATTCTCTGTCCTGTATTTATGACTTAAGGATAAATGAAAATTGGGTTGCCAAGATAATCTTAAAAACTTCCTTAATTTTTTTTATCTGTGAAAACAAGTGGGAAAAAAAGTTTTGACAGGTAAAAACAAACTTGTTGTCAGGATTGTATTTATTGTAATACTAATTTTGGCCACAAGAGGCTGAAGTGCATCGCTGCCCAATGCTCTAAACAGGACTAAAAGCATTCATGTTTTCTTCCAGGTGAGTTTTGATTTCCCTGTTAGTCTAGTTTCCTGTCGACAGGCTTTACAAAGCAGCTCCAATGTGTCCGTTAGCCTCAGAGTGGACGTGAACCAACTGTGCAGAGGGCAGCTTTGTAACCATGTTTCAGTCCATGCAGCATCCAGAGGAATATGCAGACCTTGACTATGGATCAATTTGTCAATGTGCACTGCATTTACCTTTGATTGGTTATAGATGCACATGTGGTAGATATTATCTGATAAGTCATACAGTGCTCAGTATGTGTGAGCATTTGGAAACTTTTCATTTTCCTTTTCATCCATCCATCTATCTATTTTCATCCGCTTATCCGGGGCTGGGTCGCAGGGTCAGCAGTACAAGCAAAGCACCCCGGACGTCCCTCTCCATAGCAATGCTTTCCAGCTCCACCTGGGGGACTCCAAGGTGTTCCCAGGCCAGATGAGATATGTAATCCCTCCAACATGTTCTGGGTCTGCCCTGGGGCTCCTACCAGTGGGACATGCCCATAACACCTCTAACAGGAGGCGCCCAGGAGGCATCCTGATCAGATGCCCGAACCACCTTTACTGGCCCCTTTCGACGCAAAGGATCAGCAGCTCTACTCTGAGCTCCCTCCAGATGTCCGAGCTCCTTACCCTATCTCTAAGGCTGAGCTCAGCCACCTTTCTGAGGAAACCCATTTCGGCCGCTTGTATCTGCGATCTCATTCTTTTGGTTGCTGTCCAAAGCTCATGACCATAGGTGAAGGTTGGGACATAGATGAATCATTAAATTGAAAGGTTCGCCTTCCAGCTGAGCTCTCTCTTCACCACAACGGTCTGGCGCAGCACCCGCATCACTGCAGATGCTGTGCCAAACTGCTGATCCATCTCACACTACATTCTACTCTCACATTTATTTCCTTTATTCAAGCGGGTAAAGTCATTGTGAGTAAAATCTCTTTTTCAACAGGACAGAATAAAAACATTGTCCCAGCAATAAATACAGACAACATAATCAGACTATAGGACAACTTTCCACTCTTTAACTGTGCCAGTTAAATGCAGTAAAAAGTAGAAACAAAATCCAGTTAAAATGCATCAACAAAGCTTAAAAAATAAAGTATGAACAATCAGTTTAAAAGCAGTCACAATGGATATTTTTCACATCTTTGAGAGCTGACTTTAAGCGGTACAAAATCTAATTGATGTTGAGCGGCGTTTCTTTGTAAACATATTTAATGCTGTACATTAGTAGTATATAATGTATATTTAGGAGACAGGGTTGTAGTTTGTCAGGGTGTGGGACATTAACTGTATTTTATTACTTCTGTTTTACTACTCTCTCCCAGCCAAACTTTTTTATATAGTTAACACTGACTTATGCTGCATATCCTGCATTATGTATTAATGATATTATCATCCATATAGTAACTCTAAAGTCCTATTCCCACAGGCCTAGTATTACCTTGGGACATCTAGTAAATTCTAATAATTGCAGAGGCCGTCTGTGATCTTAATCCCATGCAAATCTGCCATGTCTGTAATTTATCAAGTAAAAAGCTGTCAAACACTTGAGGTCATGTGATAATATTAGTCTTGTACGAATAGACATCTCTGTGATTTGGGGTCAAAGGTTTTTTGTTTTCTCCACACCTGGTTTCTGTTACATTCCCAGGTCAGAAATATAGAGGCTACATTGGTTCTTATAAATAAAAGTTCTGACAGCATTTATTGGTGCAGGAGAATCATCTGGCTACACAGCATAGAGATGTGTATGCTGAAAAAAGAGGCTCAAATCCATCAGAGAAAAATCTCAAAAGATATGATGGATGATGTAACAGTGTGTGGCAGAATCAATTGTTTGTTTTACCCATATGTTGTTGTTTTTTAAAGAATGGTTACACTGTCCATCACTGGCATCACTGGTCTAATCCTATGTGAATGTGCCGCATGAAATTCAGATGTGAGGGGAATAATTTCTAAATCAGATGAGGTTTCCAGGTAATACTAGTCCTGTATGAATGTGGCATAAGGAAATATTCCTGCACTGTTTATCATCTGGTATTAGCCTTACGAATGGTAGTTGGAAAAGAATTGGAGACCAATTATAGCAGTTAATACCCATAACGGTATCATCAGCATATAATATCACTAATAAATGTCAGTTTAATTCATTCAGTGTGCTGTAATCAAACATATTGACAAGTGATCAGAATGGGATGCATGTTGATGATGTTTTAAACAGCAGCTCTGTTTGTGTGTCTCTCTCAGGCTGTTGAAGACGCAGTCCCTGGAGTGGTTCTACACTAATGTGAAGACGCGCTTCAAGAGGTTCGGCAGTGCCAAAGTGCTGAAGACTCTTTACAGGAAGCACTTGGTGGAGCACAGCGCGCTTTCAGAGCTTACTGGTAAACCACCTGTTCATTGGTGTTGTGGATCACACCTGTATTTTTGATGATCAATTGACATTTACAGATAACCTGCACTGGGAAGAAACTAATTTATTACAATCAGCCCAGGGGCGCAAAGAATACACTAAATGCAGAAATCCAGTCCAGACCCCCTCCCAGAGATCTCCCAATAAATTCACCAAAATTGGCTGACTGCCTATTGGCTTATTACCAGTATACATTTCAGCCAGTAAGTACCAAGACATTGCAAAACCGAATATTTTATCTTAGACAATTTTAAGGGATACTTATTCAAAAAGCGTTTATGCTCATGTGAAAAAAACTATATATATCAACTGATTGGTATCATTATCAGATTTTTTAAATTCTCAAATACTAAAATCAGTATTTGGTTCAAAAATACCCTACTAATCAGGCCCTAAAGCAAACAAACAACAAACTTTTCTTATGTGACACCTTTTGGGTAAATATAACATTTGAAAAGGTCTAAATCCTGAACATGACTGACGATCTTTTTATACAAACCTAATCCCGTACTGAAAGCAGTAAACAAATTACCGCAGAGAGAATCTATTTTGCTGTGCTTCTATAAGGAGATATGTTTGGATGTAAACACACACACATTATTTGCCAGTTTTTTATTTTGTGCGTATATTTCTGTGCATTTAATATCTGAAAGCAGTGAGGAACAGCAAGTTGGGAAGAGAGTGAAACAGGATTAGGCTCTTGCTTGGCTTTCATCTCACATAACTTCAGCAGATTACTGTTGCTGCCAGACTCCAAGTTTTTTTCTTTTTTTTTTAATGTTTGTTTGCTTCCTCCATATCATTATTCAGCAGGGCATCAGGGACTCAGTGCTGTTGTATGTGGGTTTTATTAGACAGTATATAAAGGTTAGTGTGTGTACAAGTGGTCGATGCTTATGTAAACTGCACTGGTGCCGTTACAAAAACTTTTTTTATGCTTTCCTGCCAGCGACAGCCGTGGCCAGAGGCATTTTTTTTTAGGGCTGTCCATCCATATATTGCATTTTCATGAGCGCAATATCTCAGGCACAACAGGAGGAAACACATTTGGCACAAGTGGAATCAGTGATGAAATGATTGTTTAGTTGGTCAAAGGACAAGGTCACTGATCTCACAAAACACATTTTTAGCCATAACTCGTGTTAGTTACGGCATAATTTCACAAAAATGGACACATACCGTGTCTTTAACCCCCTGGAAAACATGAGAGTGGGCTCTGGGTGCTACTCTTGTGCTTTTTTTGTGCCAGTTTTTAAGAGCACCACAGCAGGGTGCGTCTGAGGTTGCTTAGCAGCCTTCACAAACACTGTATAGCCTATTTACCTGAAATCCTGAGTGCAGAGCTGACCATCTTCCAGGTGCTGTTTATAAGTGTGTAAGCCTGCTGTCACAGTGGGACAGATGTAAAGCTCTGGGTAGCCCTGCACTAACATGATCAACTTTTCCATGTTTATCAGACTGATATTTACAGAAGATGGGAAAGATATCTGTCAGCTGTGATTGGTTTGTAACGTGACTCCTGCCTGACTGCTGAGCATGGCCTCTTCCTGTGTCTGTCCTTTCAAATTAAAGTCCCACAAGCTCCAGTTGTATAGGTTTTGATTTGTTTAGACAAGACACAGCTCCTAATAGATTTTTTTTTTTTCTGAGACTAAGTAACCAATGAAATCTTGCCGACAAATGACCTCTGTGGTAGACTAACGTTTGTTCGACTATTAGGGGACAGCCCCACTAAAGTTATTCTTTTCCCTTGGAAATAATCTTTTAACAATATAATAATTTCCATTTACTTCCATTTACTTACAGATTTTTATTTTTATTTTTTTCCCCTCTGGAGCTTTCAGTTTAAACCTGTTTGTATTTTAACAGTGACAGTAAGAATAGGTTTTAGTATTTTGATTAATGAAAAACATACAGCTGATTTCTTGCTCTGTTATTTCAGTCAGTATTAAAATGTTTTCTTACGATACCAACACCTTATCACCTCAGAGCATGGATAGATTACTAAACAGGCACAGCGCCTGTCATGGGCAGCCCACTCTGACATCTCTCGCCTTAGTGCATGTATAGGTCCAGTTTGTGCATGTGTTCGGACCTGTGTGTAATTGGCAAACAGTGAAAAATTGAATTTCCCCTTGGGGATTAATAAAGTGTGTGTGTGTGTGTGTGTGTGTATGTATGTATATGTGTGTATATATAT